GTAAAGGGCAGGCGGGTTTACTTTTTGGGTTCCTGAAGCGCGTGGGTTGCGAATAGGTGATCCCGAAGCCACAATTACCTGTAGTCTTTGTGGCGAGGTTGTGAGAAGGTTGGAAGATCATTGACCTCTTCATGTTTTTATTTTCACAGGTCTTCTTTTGTAGTTTTGTTGTTTCCATTTGAAAAGTTTCTACTTCCATCATCCTCATCATTACAGTCTGTGAAAAGTTCCGTCAACTACTACCAACCATTACTTCACCCAGTCACACAATCCCTTTACCTAGCTAGTATTCTAGGCCTCAAATCCTCCTTTACCTACCTACCGTTCACCGTCAAACGAAACAAACGAAACAAACGAACAAACTAAGACAGCACCAACAATGTCCTCCCCCTCCGGCCCCTATAAGCTCGTCACCGTCAACACGGCTCCCGACCGCGCCAAGCGTCTCATCGGCCGTGTCGTCGAGGACGTCAAGGACATGTACACCATTATTCACGCCGGTAACGCTGCTTGTGAGTTTCCCTTCCCCCTGTACCCTCTTACCTCCATTCAATGTTACTGACGAAAACCCAATCAATAGCAATCGACGAAGTCAAGTCCGTAGTCGAAGAGCACCAACCCAACGTGCTGGTTAGTACCATAGTTGTCCATCCATCCGCCCCCTTACTCCCAGTTTTTTTTTCGCTTCCACCCCTTTTTTTTGTTTGTTGTCTATTTTCCCTGCATGCGCATGATGTGAAAAGTTGAAAATAAACGGAGAGAGAGGGACAGGAATCTTAAACAGAAAAACTAACCATCATATCCTATCCTAGTTCACGGCATCGATGTGGACTCCCGAGGAAGCTCAGCAGATTATTGCCATCGCCAAGGGCGTGGTGGGCGAGGACCTTAAGACTTTCTCGCTGCCGCAGGGGTTGCAGGTGAATAAGGGACCGGATGCAGTGGTGGATTATATCAAGGAGAATTTGCCCAGTTTGTTGGGTTAAGCGGTAGTGAAAGTTGACAGAGAGAAGGGATGGAATACTGTGGGTTGCGGTTGCGGTTCTGTGAAGACTTCGGATGACAGGAACAACTGTACAAATGTAATGGGATGGAGTTGGGGTATTGAGATATCCGACGAAATAAGATTTCAAGTCCGAAATTGGACGATATATGTCATAAAAGCAAGACCACCGGTTGACAGAATCCGCGTGAGCGTCAAGGTCGTGCCAGGAGATCTCGTCCACAGTACTTGTTGATTCACGATTGCTCCAACAAAGAGCCCGATAGATATTAGACGGACATATCTCTATCGTATGTTCGTAATGACAGCGAAGCATGTAGATGGAGCGTATGTCTGGGTGGACAATGGCCAACTCTTAGAAACTACCAGAAGATAGCTCATGTTCTGGTTGCTAGCAAAAGTCGGATGTCTAAACTACAAACTAATCTCAACATGCCGCACGTTAAACTTTGCCAAATCACGAAGGATTAAGGATGTTTGGCTCTTGAATAGCAAGTCTGACAAGGCTGTTCTCCTCCAAATATTCAAGAGGGCCCAGGGAAGTATGTAACAACGTACCTCAGGAAACATGCCAACCCGCCGTGCTAAGGATAGATAATTAGTGACGCAAAGGGATTGAAAGGTCTTCTGCATCGTAATTGTTCGTGACATTCGTTAACACTCCAGATCAGCTCTCTAGCTAACTGCTAATTCCCAATCTAGAACCGCTGGATCCGACCTTCCAATACCCAACCGTCGCATCTTTCCCTCCTCTTACTGCTCGTTCTGCATGACATTATACAAGCTGCCAATATGCGGCAAGATCTCCACCACGAACTCATCACCATCATGCAACAACTCCTTGGGGTTCCTCGCAAAACCCACACCAGCCGGAGTACCAGTAATGATAACGGTACCCTTGGGCAACGTGGTGCCCTGCGACAAGAAGCTGACGATTTCTCGGACCGAGAAGATGAGGTCACTGTGTATTCACCATATGTTAGTATTCCACCCGCAAAATAGAAAGGAAGAGATAGGAGAGAAACTCACGTCAAAGGACTATCCTGCACCACCTTCCCGTTCTTCAACCCCCTCAACTTCAGTCCACCCACATCATCCCCAATGACCTCCTTGCTCACCAGCACGGGACCAATGGGGCAACTGCCATCGAATCCCTTGGAGTAGCACCACTGTGTCTGCGCAAACTGCGACGCACGGCTGCTGATGTCGTTGCTGGCGGTGTACCCCAAGACGTAGTCGAGCGCATCTGCTTCAGAAACGTTCTTGCAGTCCTTGCCGATGATGATGGCCAGCTCGGACTCGTAGTCGGCCGAGTCTGACTCGATGGTGTGCTTGGGGATGATGGTGGGCGCCGGGTAAGGGTCGGCGAGAAGCGGGGCGGGCTTGAGGAAGAGGGTGGGAATATCGGGGATGGACATCTTGGCTTCTTCGGCGTGCTTCTTGTACTGTTTTTGAGGGGACAATTAGCTGTACTGCTCAATGTGAACTTGAGGACCTGGGCAAGTGTCGATGGGGGAGGTTGGAGGGGAAGAGAAGCTCACGTTCAATCCAATGCAGCGGATGGTCCCGGCCTCTTGAGCAGTGACGGGTGAGAGAATCCGGTCGATGATGGCCTTGTTTCCAGTGGCAGAACCGGCGTCAAGAACGGAGGTGCCGGAGAAAACATTCACTTCGACATCTTCGCCCTTGCGGACGGCAGCGCCAACATCGACTTGGCTGTCGACGGGCTCGCCAATGAGGACCTTGGAATCATCGCCCTTGGGGACGAATCTAACGAGACCTGGATAAGATTCGAGTGTCAGTTTTATTGTTGGTAGATGTACTCCGTGTCTTCTTTGGAAATACTGTCCAGCCTGGAGAAGGAACAACTGGAGGAGAGGTTGGACTCACGGCTGAACGACATGTTTGCTGTGTTTCTTCTGAACTTCCGGAAAGCAATGGACTGGAACAATGAACCGACACAAGAACTCTCTTGATTTCAGGTAGCACACTTATACTTCAATTTTTTCGATCACCGCTTCCCAAGTCAAGTCAAAACAATAGTCAAGGCCGCAATTCGGAGAAGAAGGATGATGAGGGGCAGCAGCAGCCACGCACCCCAGCACATGGGAATGGAGCTCATAAATATGACCGAAGCTAGTATAGTTACCTGCTAGCATGAAGCTTACTAACCACTTGTTCATCATGCCAGCCACTGTCCGGCAGTACAGCATGTCATCGTAGGACAGTGTGTGCCATCCGCAGATCAGCCTGATTTGTTGCTTTTCCCGCGTTGAGATGGTTGATGGATGTTGGAGAGGTTTTCCCGAACCCGCATGGTATCCTTGGTATGCAGCGCTGCAGGTCATAGCAAGTGCCGGGTGATGGTACCAACAGCGCAGTCGAGAGGGGTAGGATCCCGGTTAGCTTAGCAGAAGACGCCGGGGAAAGACAGGAGAATAATCAATGAAGATGGACAGGAAGATAGAGTCAAGTTCCAGGGTTTTCCCATTCCCCGGAGAGGACCTCTCGAGGACCTAGAACCGGGCAGGAGCAACCCCCACATTCCCCCGCAGTGCGGGGATCCTACCCCATCTCACCCGTAGCGGGAACCACATGGCGTCGACTTTCAGGAACGCGAAGGGATGACAAAAGACGCCGGGGAAATACCAAGAAATACATAAGCTTCTGTCAGCTTTGAAGGGTCCTCTTTGGTGGACACTTTCTAGGTTTCTCTCCCGAATCCGGAGGTTGTAAATCGTGATGGGAAATGTGAGAACGGGCTTGAGGTTGACCATGTCAAGGACGTTGGGCAAGAACGGGAAACAGTCAGGCTATTCGCAAGAAATAGCATTGGGAAAGCGAGATGGAATGATGAAAGAGAACAGGAGAAGAATCATATAGGCGCTACTGATGATGGAACAAAAAGGGAAACAGAAGAAACGAGATACACATGGTATTCATATTCTTCATTCCCATGAATACTACTAGCAGGTGCTGTTAGTGTATTAGCGCGAAAATCCCATACAAACTCCGCTCACACTAACAATTTCTCTTGGACCTATCACTCAAATGTTCAATTTTCGTTAGCACGGTTGCACCTCCCACTTGCAACCTCCTTCCTCTCCATGAGAAGGTCCAACCCATAATCCAGCCTTTCATTGCCAAGGAAAGAGTCTGGCCTCGCCGAACATAAGTGAGACAATTCAGGTACTCGTCAGGCCCTCAAAATCGACCGTCTGGCTAGCGACTCCGAGTATGCGTTATGCGGCTCGCAACACCTCAGTGCAACCGTTCGGCCGTCTCAAAATGGAAGATCACATCGAGAGCTATGTTAAACACTCTTATCGCCGCTGAAATAGACTATTTTGCCCGCGTACCTAACCTCTTGTGATATGCCGCGGGACAGTTGTATGTTTGACTTATAGTATGCTTTACTGGGTCAACTTCTGATACACATCTACCAAGGACTCGGCTCTCTTCACACAAGATTCTTACCTATATAGACTCGATACTGAATCTATAAGACAAGACCGGGTCGCACTACTCGTCTAGTACATAGCTCTGAGTATTTTGGGTAACGCTGGCGAACATATCATATAACAGGTTCTAACTTACATATGTGTACCAGTGCATGATACATTATACCCAGATTCTCTCAGAGCCCCATGACAACTGAATGGGGCCCATTCAGTTGTCTCCGGTTTCATACACAAACATGGTTTCTGAATGGCTTCACTTCATAGACTGACGTTCTAGGTGAGCCTCGGTATTTGTACGACTCATATACAGCACGAAACACCATGTTATTCCCACGGCGAGAACTACGGAGTGTTGAGCCTCCCTTATATCCACTTTCTACAAGTCTCCAGACAACCATGCAAAGATATACATCTTATATAACTCAACATCCTTTCCCTCCCACTACCCCATCATCACCTCAATACACCCCAAGACACCACCACCACCATACCAAACATTTTGAACATCCACCTAACCAAATCCCAAAACCACAACAATGCAGTTGACAATCCAAGCCAGCTCTATCCTCAGCCTCGGCCTCCTCCTCCTTACCCGGAGCGCGCAAGCCAGCTTCTACGTCTGCACCGGGGAGAATTTCAAGGGCGATTGCCAGAATTTCGACATGCCCTACAATGATTGTTGTAAGTCCTCCTCCCCTACCCTCCCCTTACAGGTAGTGTACCTACTAAACAATCAATAACTAACTAATACTGCCACTGGCAGACAACCTGGACGCGGGCTACGCCAGAAGGGTCACCTCCGCTGGTCCAGACGAGGGGTCTTAGTGCACGTTGTACGCGCAAGTTTTTCCAAGATCCCTTCTCTTTTTTCTTCTTTTTTTCTTTTTGGCATTCAGTGTTCCACTGCTCTACTCCGCTTGTAAGACAAAGAGTATGCTCTTCTACCTACTCTATATTATCATATAGCCAGGCAAGCAAAAGAAAAATAACTAACGAAACAACAAACACTAACCCTGGCTGCAGCGGCGACGAACTCCCTATAAGTTATCCCGGTTTGAGCACACTGGGAGCTTATAATAACAAGGCCTCATCTTTCAACTGCGCCGCACAGTAGTGGTGAGATTTCAGATGTCCATGAGTTGTCGTTTACAGGAGAGGACAGGACGGGGGATTTTTGAGTTGAATGAGGTGTTGTTTCTTTCAAAGGGGAGCGAGTTGGGCTTTGTTATGTCGGATCCCTAGGTAATGACCTAGTAGGAGGAAGAATTCCTTACAGTGCAGTGTCAAAAACTACTCCAATATATAGTGGCTTATCTATGGGAAAGCGGACGAGATCACGAGTTGTCCACTATCTATGGCCGTATGTACTGGTTAGTCCAAAAACGTCTGCTTATAGACTTCTCCGGACTGCAAAATACCTATGCCTTACTGTGAAAGTTGAATGTTTGCGGGCCACAACACAGGGAGTGGATGGCATACAACATGAAGCACGGTGAGACATGGAGAGAACAGGGTAATTAACATCATTCATATTGTTCTCTGACTGGAGTGTATCCAACTCGAACAATGAGATATATATGTACAGTTGTTGTACGCGCAAAAGGTAACTTGATAAAAAAAGTCGACAGACAGAGATGAAGCGCGCGCTGAACAGACTCAACCACGGCTATTCGTTTTGGGGTATCAATGGGGTATGTATGTATATATGGGATGTATGGGATGTGTAGTATATATAAGTCTATAACGGTCTTGCGTGTGTATGCAATTCTCTGATTGGTTATTGTCAACGCGTGGCTGAAGGAACAGAAGAACGGTATCCGTGGACGGTAGGGAGACATTAATCCGTCATCGGCGATGGGGATGGGGTGGATGTTGTGATATTAAAAGCCACGGTCTTTAATTTTTCTTTTTCCCACTTTCCTCTTTCTCTCTCTTTTTCTCTATCATGGGTCCTTCCTCATTTTACGCTCCTCGGCCAGCACTGGGTTGGTCGTTCCGTTAACTCCGCCGACATTGCTGGTGTTTCCCGCATCGAACAGGGTACAGCTGATGTGTTTTATGCCAGAAAGAACCGACCAAGGGTCCGATGTCGAGTGAACGATGGCCAACCAGGCGGCTACCAGGTTGACCAGGTAGTGCAGCATGTATGCGTAAGAGACGCCGTAGATAGCGGCATAGAGGGCAATGCCGAACAGAAGGACACTGGTGAAGTGTTTGAACCGGCTATTAACCCTGGGTACCATTTTGCCCGTGGTCAATGTCTCCACGAGAATGATGAAGGGCATGATGGAAAGAACATTATGGTGGGATGAGAAGGGGGTGAGCCAGTGGACCGCCAAGTTACGAATCCAGACCGCCAAGATGGGGAGGTTGATGGGAAGGATCCAGAGCATAAGCAGGAGAAGGGAGTGGGCGTAGTTGTAAAAGTTGGAGTTGGCGGCTGATTTCAGGTCCGAGGCGATTCTCTGTGCCCGAACCGTGGTGGTCAGCTGTACCAGACAACACACCAAGTACGCAAACTGATAAGGGATCAGAGTCGAAACGAGGACCAACAAGATGGCGGTGGTGACCATTCGCCGCCTTGGTGAAGTAGGATAGAACGCAGGGAGCGGCAAGGCTTTGCGTCTTTCCTCGTTACGAATCCATCCCGGCCGGAAGCTCAGGAGACTAACAGCTGTGCTCAAGACGTGTACAAGGGTGAGAGTCATATAGTTGAACACGGTGCAGATTCCAACACAGATGAGCGCAATCACCGGTATCAAGAACCAAAAGAAAGGATCTTGTGTTCCGATGAGCAAATCATTCTGATGGAAATCAATCGCGCCAGATGTGACATTGGCCCAGTTCCAAAGGTTTGCAGTTGTCGATGATGACGAGTTCCAGATAAACAGTGACAGAAATGTGAGGAAGGCAATAACCAAGGGAATCGACTGTCTCAAGCACAGATCCAAGCTTTCAGAGAAAGAGACAAATACACCAGTAGTGTCATAGATGCGGAACTGCTTGCGCAGGACAAGCGTAACCACCAGCAAGGGGAACGCGGCAAATACAGTCCGGTATCGCATGTACAGTTTGCCCAGACTGCCCCTGACATCAATACTCATCTTGATATTGATGTTGGAGGCGCAGGTCGGATCAGTCCAAAACTGGAAACTGAGACCATCCTCTGTCGATCTGCTTTTCAATGGCGGAGGCACGTACGGCGCAACACCATGAATGCTCACGGCAGCTTCCCTTGCGTTGACAAAGAACTTGGACTCGTACGGCTCCGTCAGGTACTGTCGAACCAACGGGGCGAAGAGCTCCTGTTGTTCACCACAGTTTTGCTCGCTAATTTCCAGGTTGTACGCCAACAGACTTGATTGCATAGTGGGAACCTTGAGCTCGGAGACCATGGGCCGTGAGGAGGGGAGGCGGATTTTCATGCCGAAAGCGAGGAGCCGACGAAGGCTGATGTGTCTTGTTCGGTGTGACTGAGAAACATCGCTAAACTCGGCAATCACAAAACCCGGGGTCGGAGTGTTGGCCTTCTCGATGACAGCAACGTACTGATGCTCGGCGATATCCTCAACGTCATACTGGAGATATGAGAAAGGGGTCCTCATGGGCTCCCCGTCTTTCGAAAAAGGATACTGCGATGATTGAACAGATGCCGGGAGAGTGACAACATCCGAGGCCGCATTGTTACACGCCAACCGTGTGGAGGCGCTACCTTCTCCGGCAAGGTTGATCTGAGCCGCAAAACCTGCTACCGCCTGACCAGGCTGCATCGGGAAAACGCTGCAAAACAAAACCTCCAACCTCCCATTTTCGCTAGATATATCCAGCTTCTGGTCCGTTAAGAGGGTGAAGCGCTTCGCTTCAGGCGATCCTGACGGGGGTATAGGTAGGAGGTGAGCGCGCACTGCGCCGCTCGCACCCAGACTCCTCAATACCAAGCGTTCCCCTCCGCAATCACCGAATTCAGGTTGTCCTCAAGAGTAAGCAGTGTCGAAGGATCCTTGGACGGCACGGTCTTCTCCGCCACCTCTTCCATCCCTGTAAGAAACCACTTCTTAAAGACCCGCATCCTGTCGGCTCTTGGCTTTGTCTGGGTAGCTCTGTTGACGTCCACGACATCGAAGATTCCCTTTACCAAAGCCTTGCGGAACTGATCGCACCATAAGATAGCCGCATGGTCCATGCTCGTCCATACGTTCGGGATGCTCGTAGTGAACACGGTAAAGCCATGCGTATCGGGGACGAGAGATTCGACACTGGCGTAGTCCGATGGCACAACGGTATCCAAACCACCGCCCGCAATAGAAACCAGAGTGACGTGCCACAAAGGGTTATTGTTGGCCCATTGTTGGGAATATGCGTGCCTCCAGTAGTCGTTGATATCCTTGTAGGTCTTGACGATCTCACTGTCGAAAGAAACCGGGGGCCGAGCATGCGGGGCGGACATGGTAATGATGGTGTTGATGGAATTGGCTTGGTAATTGGGCATGATAAGCATGGTCCTGGCCACAACACCTCCCATCGAGTGACCCAAGACTATAACTGATGTCGGATCTGGCAGATTGGGATCTCGGTCTGAGCGGGTCCGATCGAGGTAAAGCGAAAGGATGTAGCGTATCGCTTCGTTCAGGTATTCGGCTTGGTCGAGCAGAGTCTGGCCATGGAAGGCAGTGATATCCTCGTTGAAGTCGACTGTGAAGAAGTCGAGACTTCGAGCGCCACCATTGATCGCGGATTCATCTTGTTGCAACACATCGTGAAAGTAATTAGCGGCTTCGGCGGCGATGGGTCGAACTTGCTTGTAGCTACCGGCGTTTCCGGGGATAAAGAGGACGGGAACACCTTTAACCTACAATGGCAAAGTAAGCAAAAAGGGGGAGGTAATGGTGTACTGGAGGTTTTTCATCCCATACCTTTGCATCATTCTCGATGCCCAGTTCGCGATACAAGTATAACGAGTATTTGCTTGCAAAACGAGTATGCTCCGTATCAAAATCGTCAAATTTTGCGTAGCCAGGGCGCATGTACGACATGCGACAGCCCTTGGGATCAATGTGTCGCGTGAAGGAAGAATTTACGACGAGGGCCAAAAAGCCAATGCCCAGTATAGAGGTGAGCAGGGTCACGAACGTGATGGCCCATGGACTTCGTATCCTCGGTCGCTTGCCAACAAATTTTTGCTCCTGTTCCTTTTCCATCTCTTTCGAATGGACGGCCCCGTTCGCAGGGGCTCCGAGGGAGAGCGGTGGAGTGGAGGGCGAGTGGGAAAAGGAGGAAGAGAAGAAGGAAGGCGGAGGCTTCTCTATTGATCCATTCCGAGAGTGTGACAGTTTCCAATTGAAGTTGCCGGAGCGCCTACTTCGCGCGTAGAAAGACTGCTGGTGTTGTTGGTTTTGCGACTGTTGAGAAGGAGGCTGGTGCTCGAGATTCAATGGGCCGGCGCCGGGGCTAAAGGAAGGGCCGGGGTTACGGTCGCGCTTGGTAGGGGACTGGCGCACAGAGGGCGACTCGGGACTGGTTCGTTCGGCGGCCGAGGACTGCGAGGGTCGCGGGGGTCGAGGGAGGGGTGCTATGGGCGCTATCGACGGGGATGTTGTCGCGTTTGTTGTCGAGATTGCGTACACGTCTTGCTCCTGTTGGAGTTGTTGGTGTAGTAGGAAGTCGACATTATTAGGAACAGGAGCCTCGACAGGACATGTATCGCCGTCTTCTGAGGTTCCAGGTAGCCGAGTCCTCATTCCAGGGTTGGTGCCAGTGGCGGGCGGTCTTGGTGTGCCACAGCAGGTAACGACGGGTCAGGGTAAGGTAGGTTGGTCGGAAACACAGCGCAGCCAGTGTCGCGACTGGGTGGCTCTTACGGTCTGACTTTTTTCTTCCCTCTCTGATCTTCGGGAGGTTTATTTGGTGGGATGTCGCCTTTTCTCCAAGAGTCGTGGCATGCGGTTGGTTCCAGCAGTGAGGCGTATGCAAGACAAAATGCTACTGCAAGCTTAGCCAAGTCGGGAGGTCGGATGTTTGCCAGTGGCCCTTTGGTGTGGATATCGTTTGGGAGTTGAGGGAGATAAGAGGAATATGGGCTCACACCCAGGGAACAAGTTTCCAAGTGGAATCTCTGGAATCTCAAACCTCGAAATCTGCAAAGTTGAAAGTTGGAGTAAAGTTGAAGGAAGGGTGCTGTTGCCAAGTAACGGGGCCGACAGCCGAAGGTTCCCTACTCGTCAATTCGATGGCGATTGAAGGCGGGCTGGGCGCTGCTCCCGATTGCGAAGCGCGAAAGGAAAATGGCGTTGGGGTCAGAGTGGTCCCCAGTAAATCCAGTCGCTATCAGCTGCCCGAGCTTGCGAGAGTGTTCTCCCAATGGGCAGGCGCTACTTGTGTAGAGGTACCTCTCTGCAGGTGTCAGGGCAATTGTCAATGCTCTTGCTGTTTGAGTGACAATCTGTCGGGTTTCTGTCGTCTATTCTTCTCCGCGCTTGAGAACAAGGACAAGGTTCAGGTAGCACATTACCCCAATCTCAATTTCCAAAGGCGCGGGACCAGATCTAAAAGGAAGAAAGAAAAGGAGACAGGCAGAGAAAAGAAGAGGAGAGATATTAGATATCGGATGGATACGAACAGAACCAAAGCTGGAACGCGACTGAAAGAAAAGCCGAAGCTAAGGAAAATCAAGCATTTTTGGGGCTGCGGGCTCAGTGGGCTCACAGTGGGCTCCCGTGAGATTTCGCAGCAAAATCCTTGGACACCCGCTCGAGTTTGTCAGGACACCCCATCAGGAACTTGAGAGATTTGGGGGTTTCCTGACGGGTCAACCAATCAGCAGTCTCGTAACTGAACCCAGAGAGTGAACTCTGCTCTTTGCTTTGCGCTGTGGTCGCCTGGTCGGTGCTCGCCAGCCCGCCCCAAGCCCTCCGCGTCCACCGCGAAGCCCACGACAATCTAGCCTCGCTGCGGGCCGAAATGTTAAGACGTGATTCGACAGCGTCTTCTCATTCGGCAGACCGGATTCAGGGAGCTGCCTGTCTGTGTTTTTTGCAGTGGGTATCAGCGCAGTACATGTGCGTGCAGCAGTGGATGTGTACATTCAGTGGGTATTGCAGAGGATTGCTCTTGCGTGGTGCATCAATATTCCCGATAGACTTGCACTGCAGAAAGAAACTATCGTCCGGGATCACGACAGGATATCTCGAACGAGATGTGATGTTATCGAAACGCACAAACATCGAAACATATCACGACCATCGTCGGTATTACTAAGAGGGGTGAATGGTGGATCTGATCCCCAGAAGTTGACAAGGCCAATGCCGGACACTTTGAAACGGACAAAAACAGCATGTCTCCATACGCCTGAGGCAGATTGGGTTAGGAGTGATGTGATCTTCACGATGAAAAGACAAGGTACTCGCAGTGCCATTGCGAGTTTCGGTTGTGATTGTTGGAGCGGGCAGTGCCGCATGCGTTCTTTTTCTGCTTTCCTCTCTTTGCTTTGTGCTTGGTTGTGGCATTGTATCATGGTGTTGATCCTCAACGAGACAGGCGACAAACTGCTTCAAAGAGAAAACAGTGGCTTTCGACCGACTTCCTGAGACATCTTTCGTCATGACCAACGGACACCAAGGTGAACCTGGGCCAGAACAGCTACGCGGGTCATGTATGTAAGGTAGCCGCCTCTTCACACGCCGTTGTCGTCAGCCCGGTTTCCGACTGGGAGGAATTGGGGGATGGATGACCGAACTGCAACATGATAATGGACCCCCTCCTCTATCTCGCAGCTCGTATGTGGAATTGCATATCACTTTCTGGTGATTACGATTCAACTGGCAGGTTGGTCCTATAGCCCGGTAAACCTGAGATGTCCCCCGCATCATCCATCTTGCCTTCATCAAAACTGTCACTGCTAACCCTTGGACCAATAACAAGCTGCCTTGCCTTGATGAACCATACTCTAATGTGTCTTGTCAGCGGCGTACTTCTCACCGTCGGTGATCGCAATCCGTGATCATGTCCTCATGGACTTCCAAGAATCGGGTTATATTTCTACGGCCAATACCGCACGGCAAGGCCCGTCCATCGTCCTGTTGCTTTGTTGGCCCGTCTCGATCGGCTGAATACGAAGCAGCCATCGGTCTATTCGCCGGTTGCCAACGCCGAGTTGCCAAAAGCGACAATAGAGGCGCCTTTTAAAGAGGCTATCGTCCCGGATATGCATTGGCTGTTGGTTGAGTCGACGGCCGAGTGCTCCTCGCCTTATCTATTGAGCTTTAAATTCCAACCTTGTAGGGCGGCGCTTTTGACATTTTGACAACTTGGCACGCATCCTGGCACATATCGGTGCGACTGATATACCTACCGTAGTCTGCCCACTCGATCTTGGTGAGCTAGTCGGCTGCTTGGATCCTTCCGGCGGCTGAGCGTCAACATTGACGGGTCCTTATCTCGTCTTTTCTCACTCTGAGCTCAGCTCCGGTGCTTTTCAACTTCAAAGATGGTAACGATGCCCATGTCTTTGCAAGGTTTGAAGTGCCGGGGTACGCTGAAGCTGAACCGAAGTCGGTCGTTATTCATGCCAAGAACTGAACACAACGTCATCCAACCACTTCCGCACGTTTCCGTCTTTAACAGCTGCTGCTCGAGGCATTGCGGCACAGTTCGTGCTGATTGTACGATATAACTGTCTCTATCCGAATTTATCGTCAGGGAAGATGATCCGTCCTGGGTCGGCGTCGGACAATCCGAGTATCAGTGATCTACTCTACAGCTCGTCAAAATGGAAACTCACACTTTGTAGTCTACAGGAAGTCGGAGTGCAGCATTCACCAAGAAAACCGGGAAGGTTCCGTTGTGCGAGTTGGGTTCGTGTGTAACGTACAACAGCCCTAGTGTATCTTACACGGTAAGGTATTGTACACCGTATCAACGTATCTCTGCCTTTGGTAAACCAGGCAAGAGCTATCGAAGGTGCCTAAAGGTCTGGGGCAACTTCCTTCGTGTGGCAGTCGTAACGGACTATACTTTGAACCATGTATGTTTTCCAAATCCTGTGGGCCAGCCTCTTCCCCGGATTCTTCTCCCGGACGCCAATTCATCAGTCATTCCCATTTTCGCCTTCTCCTAGTCTTTTACTTCCTCTTTCTGTCGTTATTCGTTGGGACACTCAATGTCAGGCCCGAATCAAAGCGTCAACAACCGATGAAGCAATATGACGAGGATTTCTGGTACTGTAGGCAATAGTTCAGGCTACCGAGCGACCTACCGCCTCGTGACCAGTACAACTTAATCTCCCAATGACCAAAAGATTTGATATTAACTCAAGCGGTGCCATTCCAGCTTCCCCCCATCTCCAGATTCGTTGCAATTGGGACTGCCTCGGTAAGCTTCTCCCAATTGTCCGTCCTCCATAAATAAGCCATCCACTAACCCGGTCCACTGAGCATGCCGTCCACGATGTCCTTCCGGAGCCAAAAATTCACAGACTCTGTGTCAACCATATAACGGAATGCCGAAACGACACGGATGCCCTTATTGCGGATGGCCTGGGCTGCTGCTGATCCATCGCCTACTTCGTCGTCTGACAAGAGCGTGCGTAGCTTGCGCGGCGGCTTCCCCTGGCTTACATCCCAAAAGACAAGCTGGAACCGAGGTTCGCGCAATTGGTCCCCCGAAAAGCGAGGCACATTGATGCGATAGTTGCAAATCCCATCTGCGGCAACCACCGCTTCTTTTCCAGAAGTGGAAATCCCGAACGGGAAAAGATGACGCCACAGGCTCAACAAGGTGCTGCCTTCCACGGTGCGACGTTGATCTTCGATGGATATACCTTGTTTACTTCTTGCGGCGTGATGACTTCCGCCGTTGGCGCGCGCGTTGTGGTGGTGATGGTGCCCTCACAAATCGAGCTGAGAATTCCGGAGACCCAGTGGGCCGGATATCCAAGTTCGTGCAGCTGAGAGATCAATCTGAAGAAGACTGTCAGGTTGAGCGGAGCGATGACCGGAGCGTCATCTTGGTTGGCCGTATACCGAAGATATGGAAGACATATCTTCAGGAAGAATCCGCACAGTCACCTTTCAAGTTGGGGTCTTGCCATGAGTTTCTCCCAAGGCAATTTCTCACCAGGCTGCAATTGCCAGACGAAGTAACTTTCTTCGAAGAAAGAACCAAGGGGGTGTGACATTGAGGGAGGCGGAGGCGGCACACGCTTGAGATGGAAGTGGTTGGTGATGTTGGCTTCTGATGGCATCAAGGCATACTCAGCCTGGAATTGCTCATGCGTCTTGAATTTGGGAGGATTTAACAGAACTGTGAAGCGGACATCAGAGCTGCCTGGCTCCTTCAACAATGGTGCCGCAAAGAGAAGCGGGTTCATCAAGCCTCCGACATAATCCCTGCCATGCGATAATTTTAAGTGGCATCCCCCAAACTTCCCTAAGGAAACATGGAGTGACTTACGTTACGTTACTGAGATGAATCCTGTCATAGGCTCTGGGGAACTTCCTTGGGTCAAACCCATCCTCTGCAGCTTGTGACCGGTACTCGAGGCAGTTATATCTCAGCCTCTCCATGAAATCGGTCATCTCTCCAAGAACGACCTCGACAGTCATCTCAGGCCTATTAGGGTAATACAACGTGTCTGTCAGCAGATCAAAGAAGGCGGAAATAAGGCCAATCGCGTTTTCATCCTTGTGCACCTTAGCCTGACCGATAGGCAAATGGGCAGAAAGGTGGCCCAGCACTTCGATGGGGTCGAAGTGGACGAATGGAGTAACGTCTGCCTCTCCATGGTCAGGCTCACAAACTCTCCATTCCTTTTCCCATTCCATATCGATGAGCGTCACATTTACCTTCCAATTTGCGTCCAAATATGCTTTCAACGCCTTTTCACCACCAGGTTTACCATCGTCACACGCGTCCAAAAGCGGTACAAGTGCGGGCTCAACGGATGGCGCAATGCTGTCAGGCGGCGGCAGAAATCCAAGGTTGTCAAAGAAGTCCCGATCAAGTTCGCAATTCGTCGGGGTCATATCGTCAAACCCTGACATCTCCGGGGGGATTCCCATCACCATTTGCTGCATCTTAGCGCGCTGTCGTTGCTGAGCAGCTGCTTTTCTGATTGGTGCTGTTTTGTGGAAGTCTTTTGCTAGACCCTTCCAGTTCCTCAGGTAGTGGAGAATCGGCTCACGAGTGCACTTCGGGACGTGAAGCCGCTCAAAGACGGGCTTGTCGTTCTCCTCCATCTTCGCAACCAGCTTTCCCAGGGCATGCTGAACACGATCATGCACCCAGGCAGGATATGTGCCCACAGTGCACGTATGCCATTGTCGTCAAGAGCGGCTTTACCGGCGGTGCATACCTCTCGTTGTTTCTAAATCGTTCCTTTCCAGCCTCCTCTGCCAACTAGAGAATCACCATAAACCGGGCCAAGGAGGCTGCCTTGATGTCGAGCAGCGTGTAGTGGACCTCTGGGAAGTGTCCGATGTGAGTCAATAAGTAGGAGCGAATGATGCTGGCGAAGAAATTGCGTGCATCACCAAAGCCGCAGTAGAGGACAGACAGCTTCTTGTTCTTGGGTACTGGCGGGTTGCTCGTCAAGTCGAAGATGGTGTGGTCCCAGATCTGCTCCGCTTCATCGTGACCAACGGCGTAGTATCCCAGGTTTCTTGACAGGCCGGGTCTGAATTGTGGGAGGCGGTCCAAGATATGCTTCCTCATCGATGTCTTGTCGGAAGCAGCCGAAATTGAGTCTGCCACCACGTCTCGCAGCTGGCCAATGTCGGCTAGCAAGGAAGCTCGCACATGGTCTGTCGCGACTTTCTCGGCAGCCGCTGAAGCGTCGTCCAGCTTGAGGTCGTGCAAGTAGGATTTTGCAAGCCGCACATGGACCTTCTCTCTCTTTGCCGCTTCGGCCTCGGAATCAGGATACAGAGATAACGCCTTGGCCGCAAATTTGGCGGCATCCGCATACTCGCCCTTTTCGTACTTGACGGCCGAGAGGTTGGAAAAGGGAGCTGGATCATTGGGGGCCAGTTTCGCAGCTATGTTGTACTCGGATTCGGCTGTTTTTGTTTCATCACACGTTAGGTCTCGATTCTGCTTACATAGTGTTCCTGTGTTCGCTGGATATGGATGGGATTGTTCCGAATAGGTAGAATGAGAGATGAGGGGTGAGAGATGAGAGTTAGGCTACCGTGGCGAATCCGACCTTTCAGGGCCACTCTTTCCAGGACTGAAGATGCCAAAGGAAGGAGCTTCTTTTAAGTCTTGTTCTCACTCACTTCCTTTTTCTTGAATTGACAGCAAATATGACAGGCTGGGGTGCATATGCCCAGACGGCCAAATCTACAAAAGATAGGACGATGTTCTGCTTGCAAGGCAGAACTCGGAATGCACACTATATAGCCAATGTCAACCTGTGACATGCCTAGCTTGAACTCTATGTAAGTCAGGTCTGCCCTCCGACTGGGTGCACTCCTGGGGTGCGCCGCACGAACCACATTTTCGACCTTGGCGTTTCTAGCATCTTCGATATCTGCACCTCTCTTGTGTATTTAGCTGTAAGCTCCATGCCATACTGGCACAGACTTCCCTTTTCCTCTTTGTCGAGTATTATCACTTTCACCAAGGCTTACTTGCGTGTATATCTTGTAGAATCTTTATACCTATAAAGATACCCAATTTTCACTAAATTAAATAAGTAGCATAATTTTTTGACATTTAAGTAATTCATTTATAATTATAAAAGTTGCTTTAAAGACAAAATTTGTATAAAACTCTAGACGTTCTATACATTAGCTAAATAACTTTACTATTATACTAATTTACAATTATTTAAATGTGTATTTTCTTGAAAAGAAACTAATAAAAGTTTTTGTATAATCTACTAGAGTATTAGTTTTAAGTTCGCCTCTTTTATATTAAAAGACAATTTTAATACTATTGATAATTTAATTTATATTAGATAATGAATTGAATATTAGCGAGGCAAAACTATAATAGAGCTGTGAAAAATTGTATTCAATTAACGTATTAACCATAAATAATTTCAATAATCAAATTAAATATATCCTCCTTAGTTGGGAGGGTTCTGCTAATAATATAAATTCTAAATAATACTTTTATATAGTGTTCGCTGCAATGCCTTAACTAGCTTATAATAATAGCACTAACATAGAAATGCTACAGTGAACTATGTACTTGTAGCAGAGCGGAGTGGAAACAGTAAGAAGTGCGACAGCGGTGCTGAAGGAAGCAGCGTAGTAGCAAAGACAATAGAGGGATGTTGTAAAAGAGGTCTTAAAGAGAACTCTGCTCTCAAGACAGAAGAGTACAGTAAACTCTGCACTATAGGAGTAGTGTCATAGGGCGCGAGCAAGCACTAAGCTAAGACTTTGAATTGTTGTGCGAAGAACAGGAAGAGAATTATATATGCGCACGAGAATTATATAGGGCATCCAGAGCCATGACAGCAGTCTGTGCTCGGACTGCTGAATGTACTACAGTCAGACAGCTGTACTCAGCTGGCTACACTACTGCAGCACATGTGCATGTGCACCTATATATAAGAACAGGGCAGTAATGCTTATGACAAGTAGACTGTATTGTATTGCTTGGATTGTGCTTGCTTGCTTGCTTAAGGAGTGGCTAACTAAAGTAGAAAAGAGATCTTTATATATATGAACGTTAAGTATCTAGAAGCTTCCAGAGTGTAGGAGCTTGTGTAAGTTGATAGGAGTGCTTGTAGGAGCACCATGCCATAAAAGGAATAAACTGAATCTATGAGCTTCTGGTGCATTCTATGATGACAAATTAGTCTAGAAAGAATACTGAACAAGTTAGAGAATCCTAGAATATAATATTAAAACTTCTGTATTCTAGCATGTCCTGTGGAAGCTGAGTAGACTGATTTCATAGAAAGAATAGTCCAATTCAGCCTTTTATACTACAAGATAATACAAGGCAGTTGTAAAGCATAGTACTAGCCACACGTTAATATAATTAATAATTAATTAGTATCATGAGGCGAGTAGGCACCGTTGGGGATAAGATAAGATATGCGTTGTTTGTTACGAACTTATGAGATACATGGACCAACCAGGCCGCTGGGTCAAAATCAGCCACAAAACGGCTGAGCAGTGTAACCACAACCCAGGGCGCACGGACAAGGAAGGCTGATCAGTCCAGCCAAGATGATTAACTGATCAAGTGACCAGTCGGGGCAGGGCGCGCAACTAGTCAGGATGATCAGAACTGATCACCTTAACC